ACGGCGTGCCGCCGAATAGGCGCGGCAATGGTGGGGATGGGAATATTCCCGATGGTCGTCGTCGTAAGGGCGGTGATACCCCGCGCGGTCGCGCCGATGGCGGGACGAACTACGCCGTATTATCGTTGCCCCCGTGTTCGTTTTCTTCCGGTTAGAGGAAGAAGATGTTGGAGAGGCCGCTCGCGCACGCGATGGGCGAGCTCGGGAACGCGCGGCCTCCGGAGTCGCGGAGGCGTGGGATTTGTTTGGTGACGACGGGACGCCCCTCTCGGTTTTTTCCCCGTGGGGTTGAGGCGTCGACGAGCGCCCGGCCTGCGAGGATGCATCCGAAGTCGACGCCTCGCTCGCGCTGGGGCAGGGGCGGGGGGGGCCGTCAGAATGCTCGGAATGCGAACGCCGAGCTTCCCTCGACGCGCGCGCTTCCGGGGAGGGCTTCCGTGGCGATGTGCTTCGCGGGTTGGGGGGCCGCTGCCGGAGGCTCGACAGCTCGGCGGCCTGTTCTTTGACGATCGCCTCGAGCCGCCGTACCTCGTGGCGGGTGCTGGCAAGCTGGCAAACCAAATCCGCTACGCGGCGTGCATCAAAGGAACCCCCCCCTGGCAACAACGACGACGACGACGCCGCCACACCGGAAGTGTTCAGGCCAGCGGGCGAAAGGACACCACTGGCCATGCCATTCGTACGAAAGCGGAGGTCATCCATCACTAGGAACGAGGGGGAGCTCCCCTCAGATAAGTTTTAATAAATGGATAGCGAATCTAGAAAAAAAAAGGGCAGGCGATTCCTCCCCTCGGTATAAAGTTCTAAATGAGTTAGAAACTAGGAAGGAAGTCAGAAAGGGAATCTCTTCCCTACTATCTGGTTTAGACAATATGAAAAAAAGGAAAGGAAAAATAAAAGGTGGTAAAAATAGATATGGAAGAGGTCATTTAAGGTGCATATCCAATGTGCATGTGTGTGTGCGTGTTGTGCATTTTTTACTCTTGAACCTTTTGAGATTCTTAGAGAAAGAAGGGACTTCAAAAAAAAAATGAAGTTTCATCCCTAGGAATAAGATCAAAGGCAAAAAAAAAGTGTAGCAGCTGGGGATTCATATTACAGAAAAAAATGCGAAATGCATCGTGGTAGTGTCCATGGTACAATGACAATAGTTGAAATGGCTACGCTCCCAACGTGATAGGGTGCTCATCCTTCTTCTGAGCGCTGAACTGTTGCATGTATTGTTGGCGTGTTCGTCGATTTACGCGCAACTTCGCCTCAATCCACACGAGTAACCCCTCTGGAATTCCATTCCCCTCCAAGCGGAGCTCCTCAATTGTGTTATTCAGAAATAAGGCCTCCATGAACGGATGCTCGCTAAGAAGCATACAGGATGGAGCGAAAGATGTCGACTCACCTTGTATGGAGCCTGTTTTTCTAAAATTCAAAAAATAGGGATCCTCATCTAAACTCCCGAAAGCCGTGCCCCCGCCACTGTCCGCGGGGGAACCATCCCCCCACACTTTTTCACGTGATTCCATGAGCGTACGTGAATAGAGGAAGTACTCCCCGAGTTGATTTTCCTGGAGGTAAAGCGCCCTCAACGAGCTCTCAGGACGGCCGCAGCAAACCAAAAGCTCCGACAGCGCCCGCACCACCCTACTCCCGCGACAGCCCTCGAGCAAATTCCCCGATAAATCCACCCCTGTCAAGCGGGGATGCACGCAAAGCGCGCGGCAAAACACCACAAATCCCTCCACACACACACCCAGTCGGTTCCACGAAACATCCAAAAAAGAAAGTTGCGGGCACGCCGCGAGCACATCCATCAGCGGCGTAGCATCCTTCAGAGAAGTGTGTTTGAGAACAAGCGAGCGCAGCCACCGCGGAGCGGGGCGAATAGGAATTTCACCCACAATCGCAATCGAGGAATGCAAAACACGCGTAGAGAGCACGCGGCAGATAACGCGCAACCCGCGATCACCAAGATAAGAATCCTCAAAGGTAAGGGAACGCAGGGCGAGAAACGGCAAGGCAGCCGCGGCGGCCTCCCAGTCGACCCCATCGCACGTCAGGCGATCAAAACGGAGCTCCAAAAGCAACCCTCCCTCCCCATCGGGCGGTGTTGACGCCTCCGCCCGACGAAACGCGTTCGTCACTCGCTGGAGGATGTCGGGATTCATCAAAAGGCCCTCCAACACGCAGGCATCGCCGTACAGACGGGTGAAAAGATCCATCCAACGGGCTGGATATGAGCTTTTGTTCTATCTAGAGGTGTATATATTCAATCAGTCGCTCGTCGAAAAAGGTGAAGCATAAATAGAAATGATTTATGTGTGTGCGTGGAGGGGGAGAGGGGGCTGATCACATGATTTTTAAATAAAAAACACAAGTAACTATTTTCTCCATTGATTAAAAGAGCTATTTGGCTATCCATTTTTCACAATGTGTTATGTGGGATCATCGTTCAACTTATACCCCAATCTATCATACCACCTTTGATTCCTAGATCGCTCAGATTAGACTATCACTAACGTTAGATAATGATGATCATATTTAAGATTCATTCATACTTCTGTTAGTCTTCTACAAAAGAAAGTAAATGATATTGAATTTAAAAAAAACACCTGAAAACAGATATCGTTTTTTTGATGTTGCTAGGAAACGTCATTTAGTCCGATAGGGATTAGTAGTATCGGTGCATAAATTAGTAAGTTTTCACAAATGGTGTTATAGAAGATGTTAGTATAAGATAATATAATAGCTTAATCCTTCCTCCTGCACGAGGAGGAGGGAAGGAGAAGGCTATCATCGCCCCTCCCGCATCCCCATTACGCCGCGTTATCTACGCGGCGATCGCTGAATTTTTATTCAACGGCAACGGTGACTCGCACATCTCGCAGAAGACCATCCCATTTGCGTTCAAAAACGTGCATACCTCGCAACTAATACCAGTGGTTTGATCCTCCGTGAGACGATTCGCACAATCGCCGGAATCAACGATCGACGAAGGGGAGGTGGTGGAATTCGGATGGTTCGCCTGCGAAGCGACGGGCGCCGTGCAATTGCTCGATCGTAGACGCGTCTCCGCAAAGGTCGCGGTGGACCTCTCATTCGCGGCTCCCGCATCTTCCCGATTCCGTCTGATCATCTCTTTAAAGCGGGATAGCTTTCCAAGGTCGGTGTCCAAATCCGATTCGCTGTCGTCGTCGGGCGTGCAGCGGGCGGCGACGGAGCTGGTGAGGTTCACGTTCAGCGTATCCTCATTGCAGATGCCGAGCTCATAGAGCGTCAACCCATCCAACGAGGAAGCCGCAAGAGCGTTCTTCGAGGGTAAAGACGCAGAGTCGGGTTTAGGAGATTCCTCAGGGAGGCTATTCAACTCCGTCGCGGGCGATCCTTCCGCCCTGTTTCTAGGTTGCCGACCCGCCGGCAAGGCGCGTTTAAAACGCAGAAGCCGCCGTCTTCGTAGGATTTCAAGATCCGCCGCGCACACCTCAAATCCATGCCGTCGGGCGAGCAGCTGCCGGATTTTCTCGCGAAGCTCCGCGAGGGTGGTGAAGTAGCATAGACTATCCTCCCCTTCCTCACTCCCGATTAGTACATCTCTTTCGTCGTAAAAGAGCCGTTTACTCTTGCGGATGTGAAACTCCAGGGAGAGGGTGCCGCGAACGAAGAAGTCGGTGAGCCCATCCAGGCGATGGATGAACTCCCGGCAGCACATCTCGCAGGTGGGGGGAATCATCTCACGCATGCCGTTTCGTTCGCGAAGGAGAATCCCCTGAGGGAGATCCCTCCCTGCCTTCTCGCCTTCGGTTTCCGGCTCGCCTTCGTTGGCGCCTTTTTCCCCTTCTTGAGCGGCGTAGCGGTGGAGGATCTCCTCGTACTCCTCGATCGGCATCACCACCAGCGGGGGCTTCCACGATATCGACAAATCCTCTTTGGTCCACGAAACGCCGCGGGGTTTGGCGGCCTCCGTCGGGGTCGTTCCATGCGCGTTCCGCGCGGGTTCCCCTTCGCGGGTCGTCCACGCCTCCGCCGCCCATCGCTCGCGGGCGGAGTTCCAAAACGAATCCGCGGGGTTCAACCACCCCACCTCCACCACGACGCCGCCATGGGGGCAAAGGAAAGGCGCGAACTCCAGCGATCCCGTGAGATCCCCC